CAAAAGTCATAGCAAAAACAATTACTTTACTTCGTGTGATCCCCACCATGACATTTATACATTTTGTTACTGGCAAATCTTCTGGCATTCTATCTGACATATTTTCTGGCATTCTATCTGGCATATCTTCTGGCATTCTACCTGGCATATCTTCTGGCAGATGTTCTGGCATATCTTCTGGCAGATGTTCTGGCACATCTTCTGGCATATCTTCTGGCATATGTTCTGGCATATCTTCTGGCATTCCATCTGGCATATCTTCTGGCATATTATCTGGCAAATCTTCTGGCATTCCATCTGGCATTCTATCTAGCATATCTTCTGGCATATTATCTGGCAAATCTGCTGGCATTCTATCTGGCAAACATTCTGGCACTTTATCTGGCATATCTTCTGGCATTCTAGCTGACATTCTATCTGGCATTCTATCTGGCATACCTTCTGGCATTCTATCTGGCATATCTTCTAACATTCTATCTGGCATATCTTCTGGCACTCTATGTGGCATATCTTTTGCGTGGATACTCGCGGTTGAGGTCCGGCAGGGAACACTTGGCATGGATACTCGCGGTTGAGGTCCGGCAGGGAACACTGGGCGTGGATGGCCGTGGTTGAGGTCCGGCAGGGACCACTGGGCGTGGATGGCCGTGGTTGAGGTCCGGCAGGGAACACTGGGCGTGGATGGTCGTGGTTGAGGTCCGGCAGCGAACACTGTGGATCGCGAGTCGCAGTTGAGCAGGAGGACGAGGAGGACAACGAGACGAGGAGGACAACGAGAGGAGGAGGACAACGAGAGGAGGAGGAGAGGAGGAGGAGGAGCAGGCAACTTAGATAAAATCTAACAACCCTCACCTGGCAGGTGGGGAAAAACATGATCATACCATCAGCCTACGACAAACCAATATCCACCGTAGCAAGCCTCAACTACTGAAATGATTTTTAACATTACTTGCCTATTCCAAATACATGAAAGAAAATGTAATTGACCAAATCCAAACATAGATTGAACATCCAGTACTGTTCATATTTTACAAAACAAAAACACACATGTATTAATATTATGAATAATGAATATCTATCAAGATTTGTGCGCCCAATATCATAGTTAATAAATACCACTAAATTGATTCAAATTTTGATCACATTACCTGGCCTGATTCGTTTCCTTCTTCCATATCCCAGTGTGCATTCTCATTCTTCTGCTTCTTGCCGCCCATGTTTCTTGACTGTTTGGCTTGGTTCTGGATGAGGACATAGTAGGCTCTGGTCTGCCATGGCTTTACGGATTCCAAACGACTTGGACACTTCATCAGGGCTATCAATGCCTTGTAATAGCCCGCTGGCTGAAAATGATACAAACGCCTCAACTTCAAGCGAAACAATTCTTCCGATTTCAACAGTGCCCGGAGGTAATATTTGCATATCCTTTTGTGGTAGTACCACTTCTTGGGTGCATCAGGTTGGTATGGCTCAATTTTTCTGGAGCTGGTGCAGACTTCATAGGACCATCCCCGCTGCGTCAATTCCAACATTGCTTCAAAAGGTACCATATCATTGATGTCCACTCCATCCCTTGCTCCATCGTGCAACCTAAACTGCACAAACTTTGTTGGGTCGTAGAACCTTTGGTGAAGGTCAAGACTATCTCGGCCACGAACTGTCAGCCGGAATGTATCCAGTTTGTCTTCGACCACATCAACCTAGGCCACAGATCAATCCTAACTGATTGTGAGCATGTAGCAAATTGAAATATGTTTTGTTGACGCCTAAAGGCTCAATGCCAGAAACATTGAACATGAAAAAAAACATGGTCATTGTCATAGTTATAGTATGTTATAGTTCATAGTGTGTGTGTGAGTCCTGAGTTGCTACATTGTCCAACCCTCCTGCTAAACCCAACCCCACTCACTCAACCTTAATTCATACGAGGCACAAATCTGTTTGCTAACAGATAATCCAGTTCCGTGATTTCTTTCTCAGGGTCGATGTAGAAGCTGCAACTGCTCTCGGGAAATGCGCCAGCATCAGCAATATGATGCAATAAGTCTGCGGCCGCTGATGGCCTTAGATCCAGAAGCTGATTCTATTTGAATATAGTTTTTGATCTGTTGAATCTGTTTGATTCATTCATTCGTTTTTTTTTCATGTCATCATCATAAGCCACACCACAGTCACACCTACGACAACACCACCACATAGTAGAAGACTGGCAATATTGTTTAAATGTTTAGCAGTTTTTTTTGCCACAATCAAACATTGTGAAACATACATACATAATACAAAATCCAGAATCCAGAATTGAAAAAAATGATGATGATGATTCTGATGGATCTGATGGATTAATGTTTTATGACGACAATGATGATGACATGCTGCCCTAAGCCGATTGCAACAATTGGTACATGAGCCACGGCACATGTTCAGTCTGGCTTGAGCATGGTATTCAGTTTGTCCAGGTTTCCAAATCTTCAGCTTGTCAGACAAAACATCGTAGGCCACATCACACAGTTTCATGGCCATTGGTGCGCCACTTGGCTTGCCAATGTGCACGTCGGTGACATTGTTGAAACGATCCACATTGAAGTTTGCAATCATGAAAATCTGTGCTACAAAATCGAATTTTTTGTTGAATCCTGATCCCAAGAAAGTTTGATAGGCCATGTTGTTGTCCACTGGTTTGAAAAATACCCAGGTAGTCCGTCCACACTTTGCTCCAGGGAAAGAGGCAGTGTGATGGGGCTCCGGGAGCACCATCGACAAATGTTCGTCTTCCAGTTCCAATCCTGTGGCTGACCCTGGCTGGCTGGGAAAACATATAATTATATAGTGGCCCGTGGCCCTGAGCGACTGGTGATCAGTGATAACAATCATCCAAATCCAAGGCTGAAATTATCCTAAAGTTTATGCATAGTTGGGTTCCCAATAATTGCCGCCCGACGACATGACGCTAAAGATTCATCATGTAGTAAGTAAACATAGCATGTTCATCACATATACAAATCGCACATTACAATGTGCCATAATCATATATGGAACATATTCTTAGAAATATAGTTCATTCGATTTGGTTCAATGCTAATCTAGTCTTATACCAAGACTCCACCAGGGAATGTCTTCGATGGCACAACTGCCCGCAGGCATGACGTTGAACTCTGCACCGTGTCAAGGTCTAGTGAGAAGATTCTCGACACATCTTTGATGCCAACCTCGCAGTCGCAGAGGATGTGTTTTGATGATGTTCACATCATAATCTGAGTATGAATAATATGTAACATATATGACATATCATATGGCCTTATAGTATGTTAATGTATGCTACATAATCATGAGTCATATATCATTTGTAGAATCTCAGAATCTACCTACTTCTTGCTCCTAACAATTAACAATGTGAGATTTTCGGTTAATACATAGCCATTGGCCATGACAATCAACCAAGGTCCAAGTAGGACCCCATAAATGCCGAGAGGCCATCCTCATGTATCGAACCAGCATTTTTGACAGAAGATTCACATTTGATTGATCGCCAATAGCATCCGCTGGAGCACGATGTGGCACTTCCATGTCCTGAAGTTTTTCGAATTTGATTGCATCTCGGAAGCTAAGCGTTTCCGACTTGAGTGCTTGATCACAACATGGTCCCGGTACACAAGCTTCACAACCTCTTGGTTCTTCAGCGATGTGAGATACTCCATAACCTGTGGATGCAGATCCAAGAGATACCTCGGCCGGGACGGCATTCGTCATTTTATCAGTTAAAAGTTAAAAACAAATATTGTTTTAACATGTATTTATTTATCTAATAAATCAACAATCCAACAAAGAGACTCCAGCCCATTGAACGAAAAAAACACTAATTGCTCGTTTGATCATTCTCACACTCCATAGTAGATTGCACTTCAAACAAGATGCATCACTGCTTTTCGGAGACCTGTGCTTGTTTCTAATCCAACCAAATGTTCGATCATGGCATTGAGACAAGCCGGATTCAATGTTGCTACACGTCGGAGCTGAACGAACCTTAGCTCAAGGGAGATGTACGGTATTGATGCCCTAGGGGCACGCTTCAATACCTGATGAACACGGGCATGACGACCTTCCACAGATCGTTCTGCGACTCGCACCTCGGCTACCCACTCCACTAGCAAATAGCAATGAGACAAGTAGCCAATCACCGCTACCAACAAAGCAAAAAAACTATTAGGAATATCGGATATAACTGTGTGACTACGTAACTGCCAAAAACGTCCGACTGATTGAGTAGAAGTAAAAGTATTAGAAATTTAGCAGTAGCAATACTAACTACCTTGACCACCGCAGTCCAACCTGACAGGGAAAAAAATATCAAAGAAACACAAACATCACCGCCGCCGCCTACCATCTGCAAAATCTAAGTTTAGACAAGGCTCCAAGCGAAAGGCTGAAACCCAGTACAGCATGCTGCGCTTGGAGAGAGCCATGAAAACGCCAGCTTCATCAGCATTTTCATCCACGTTCATTTCCTTGCAGAAATCGTACAAGGTTTTTTCTCCAGACGCTAAGACTTCCATGAGATGTCTCAATGGCGGATCGGGCACAGTTCCACAAGAACCTTTGCCATCCAAGCCCCCCCAGCTGGCGTTCAGAAACCTTTGGGATTGCTTGTGAAGAGCCCCCTCGTCCACAGGATTGTTGTCATATGCTCGGATGCATTGAGCAGCAACACGTTGGACTTCAACATCATCTTCAAATGCCAGCCCACCTCATCACACGGACCCTAACACCATGATGAAATACCATGTCATTTGCATCAAATGTGTATTCGATCTGACCGAACTGGTTCACTATAGTTTCTGTTGATGTCATGTCAGATCAAAGTCCTGGTTCCCGCTTATGTTGTCCACCAACATAATGTATAAAACAAAACATATTGGCAATGGTCCCCGTGTCCCAGTCACTGTATCTTGATATACGACATTGTTGCGATGCACTTTGTGCTGTCAATTCACACGCACATTACATCATGCCTGGCGCATAGTAATTACAAACCATATGGTGAAGTAGCAAAAGGCAAGCACTGGCAAACAAAAATATTTATCACTATCTATATCTAAAGTGAAAATGTTATTCATAAGGTCCGGACATAGCAGCCAGGGCAGCTCCTTCCAGTGACCCAATTTTGAGGAGATTTGTCCTCAGATATGATGAAGGGATCTATTCATAAATCAGCGAACAATAATCAAAAATGTCACTTGTAACTTGTAACTGCAACTATATATAACAGTACCATGTACAGACAATATACACAACATGAAAGTAAACTTGAAGAAAGCTTTTGTATACAGAGCTTTTGTTTTACTTGTCCATAATTTAATCCAAACATAAATATATACTATACAGTCTACAATTAAATTTTATATACAAAAACCGCCGAGGATCCAAACAGCTTTGAACATGCAGTCGTCCAGGATGACGCAAGTTCACTTCTCTTGTTCGCAGGAGCTCTGGCCAGGTACTCGTTGAACGGGCCAGCATGCGACATCATCTTGACGCACAAAAGTTCTAATCCCTGACCCACTGCCAATTCGGGAGCTCGACAGCACCGAAATGGACAATTCTTTGCCTCCTGTATTGCTGCTTTGTTTGCAGATGATCGACGGCCCTTGGCTTGACGTGGTAATGGATGACAAGGGCATGACTCAGACCAAGAGCCAATGTGATCGGACTCATTCGACAGCAACGCTACCATTGCAATGACCGCCCAGGAATAATCATCTCGCATTAAATCTCTGATCCTTTGCAAATGTGCCTTTGAACACTCTTCCACCAAAAAGGGCTTGCTCTGATTCACATCGGTAGTCCCCTTCATGTAGCGGTCTGTGTTCCAGGCGTTTCTCAACAGTGTTTCCACTGGCAGTACCTCAGCCAATGAAAATCCAATGGCCAATGAGCGTATGGTGTGCGACGTGTGCGAGGTTGATTGTTATCTATCAACTACTGTGTCCTATCTATTGGCGAGCTTGGAAAACAAAACAACTCAAACATAGCATAGTTCATAGTCATAAGATAGCCTGGCTCATTGTCATTGGGTCACACTGACACACACACAATCACAAACACACAAACACACACAAAACGCACAACAAGATACCTCCCTGCAAAAACTTGAGATGACTTGCCAGCGCAGTCCCCGGAGGTGATCGGCATTCCATTTGAGGATCCGATTGCGTTCCTCAAGTGTTTTGTCACTCAGACAGACAGCCACAAATCGCTCTCGCCATGTGACATTGGAGAGCAGTTGATCCAATGATTGTAGTTTTGGAAGGAGAGTAGCCCACCTAAGCGACGGGATGTTGCCTACAACATCTAATGTTACACTTGCCAAATTATGAATATATAATATACATTTGTTCATATCATGTGTATGGTGAATGTATGTTTGTAACTTGTAGTCATCATATATATATACACATATGTATACATATAAACACATACGTGTACATGTATGGATGATGATAGCAGTGGCGAACCAAATGCTAAAGAATCAAAATAAAGAATAGAATAATATCATAATATAGTATCATAGTAAATACGAAATATTTGACTAAAGTTTATTGTTTTCACCCACATGCGAGTATAAGGCCACGTATCTGACGTCTGTATCAAAATCCCTTGAACAAAAATACACACATAATACAATATGATCACCAAATATAAACATATTTTGCATCACACACATTGGCTGAGCAACTGAGGAAGACTCTGCAAGGTGGATGAAAGAAGATTGTCGCAGATATGTTTTATTCCAGGAATCTTCAAACTGTTTGGAAACCATCGTGCAAGCCGTTCTGAATCATCCTCTGCCAAACCATTTGGCACAACCAAAGGCCCTGGATCTGCTTGATTGCATGAAGCTGTTGTGAGGACGTCCGGCTCCAGTTCAAGAGTTGCACGTTTCTTCCTGAGCACACAAATGATTTCAAGAAACGCAAACTACAAGACACGTGACGCAACTTGACTGTGAAGAATGAACAATGGTTTCAAGTCTATATTTGATCACTTTGTCAGATGGTCAAGTTAAACCATATGTTTAAGGAAAGCATTTTTTTTTCTGATCTGGCTCCCGGTTCAGATTATTTCAAATGCGTTTAAAGTTTTTTTTGTTTGCATGCAATGCATTGCATGTTTGGACATGTTTGGATTGGATTTGGATTTTTGTCTAAAAAAAAACAAGCGACTGATCACACAAGGGCGGTATCCACCCGGTGGTAATGGCATTGTGTTGGCCTGCGCCTGTGTTGGTCTCGGAGATCAGTTCCTCTGCAGTGATGTGATGGTCTTGATCTGTCTTCGGATAGTTCAGCAAGTCCAGCGAGATATCATGCGAAAGCTTCTGCATATCAACTTGCATTGTATCCGCCAACTTCAACTCCACACCTCACATACATACTCACAAGTAACATTGACATTGACAATAAGAAGGATGATGACATTGAGACATTGACAAACGAATGACAAACTTTGACGTTAGACAACATCATCAGTCAATTTAGTCAATAGTCAATGGTAACGAATCTAACCAACCCAATGACCCTGACTCATCAATCAAAATGATAGCTAATAATTAATAATAAATAATAACTAGGTACTACTAGTAACTGATAACTAGTAACTAGTAGCTAGTAACTAGTAACACACAAGTAAAAACAATGCAACTTTCAAAGGATCAATTCAAAAGTTGAGAGACCTTGATCTGACAAACATGAGATTACTCGCTCACCATATGCCTTGAGGTCTGCCTGTCGATCAGAAACGGTTGCCTCCAAGGACAAAGTGTACAGGAGCGCATCTGCCTTGTGGACAAAACTTGTGAAGCCTAGGCGTCAGGCGTCAGGGGCATTACCTGTACCCACCACCAACTTGCACCGACAATCGCCCACAAAAAAAAAGGGCAACATGTTATGCCGGCAGGCAAGCCAATGACACCAACAAGCCCTTCCCCATGGAAATAATTGGCAAAACCCGTGACTCCGTGCCAACCGGTGGGGGTGGCATGGGGTTTGCTTCCACCTCTGCATCAGTCTCCTGCAGCTTCTCCAGTAGAAACCGAAAATTGTTGTATGCATCTTCTGACCTGATTTGCATGGGGTTCTTGAGTTCTTGCGAGTGACCAATGACATCTATTGTCACTCACCTCACCCTCATCATACTAGAGTCAACATTGAAATTTACATATATATGTGTATGCCATGCATTCCATGCGCATCATGACGCCATAACTTAGGTTTTGGTTTCCATTGTATCAAGTCATTGTTTTGGTTGATCCCGTAAACTGTCTGCCTGGTCGTGTACTCTTCCACAATGAACAATTCCTTCTGCTGAGCTGTAGCATCATAGCCTCCCAGCCGCACCACTTCATGTATATGTATCACAGGTACTTACCATCCGGATGCATTGCAACTTGCAAAGTCTCTTTCTTAGGCTCATTCACAACAGTATACTAAGCATCGAACATAAGGATAACCAAAATGGTGTGAAGCCATGTTCTTTCCACATCCATCTTCTACAGAACATAGTGAGGATATCCAGTTTGCCACGTGCCCGTGAGAGCGTCGACCCGCTAGGGCCGTTGATGTCGTCCGCATTGTCTGCATTGTCTGCTGGATTTGCTTGATCATCGCGTATCGCCTGGGTCCGCTTGTTGTTACCATCCAATTTTCAAACTATCACAACAAGTCTACGGTCATAGACAAACCCATGTTGGCACTTGATACTTGATGCTAGTCACTCCCTGCTGGTGTTTGTGAATGAATCTTGTAAGTTTTGTCTGTATCCAATGAAATATGCTAAACGATTATATCGTACCTAGACCTAGTACTTAATATTAACCTTGTCACAATGTAGATTGTTAAGTGAATATATGATTCCCTAGGGTTTTTGCCATGGCCCTTTGCCATGCCATGGCCCTTCAAAAAAAACATAATTGTCTGTCGAGTTACTTCCTGAAGCTTATCTCCCATCTCTCGGCTACCGCTTGCTAATTGGAGCGCTGCCGTCAACGCCGACTTGAACATGTCTGTGCTTCGGAGTTGTATGTTCCTGAGAACATGTGGTCACTGGTGCGGGGATGGGCACAGAGTTTCGCATGAACTGTTCACATGTGTTTGTTGACTAGCGTTGAAGCCAGGTTTCAAAATCATACAGCGATACATTTGCAGCAAAGAGTAGGCAGGACGCCCGCCAGATGGTCCACAAACATTTGGCGTAAACACCTTTGCCATCATGTCGCCCTGTGTCGTTGCTGTGGCCTGGCAACGCAAAGCAGGACATGATCTAGGTATATAATACGCAGACACACTTGACAGCATCAATAAACATTGTCATTATTAGATTGTAACAAAAAGTAGTAATGTCAATAATATTAATAGAGATTGGATTGGAGTTAAGTAAATGAGAATTGATAACCATGAAGAGATTGAGTTGAATGTGTTGAATCTTTCATGATCATTGATCATTGACCTTTTTTTTTTGCTCTCCTGAATGCACTCCTGGTCCTGCCTGTGTCAGTGTCAACACCATCAATGCAGCGTCTCGAAAGGAGTGTACCTGAATGGCTCAGTTCAGTATATTCCGACTCAACAAAATTGATGAGACAAACATATACAAGCCCATGTCCCGAGTCTAGGATGCATATTTTACAAATTTATCCAATCAGACTCCATAATCATCCTGGCGATGGCCCACCAGCAAGTCCCAGTTACTTCAGGCTCTGTTCCATGTTGTAGCACTGGTCTGGCTGCTGCTAGGAGCAACTGATAGATTGCGGTGCATCGTTTACGCACCTCCCCCTCATAGTCGGCTGGACAATCGCCCAGTACCACCATGGCACACCCGGCACAATCTTTCTCAGACTCTTTTGTACCCTATCATCTCAAGTGGTTGTCACGGTAGGGTGAAGATGGTAATGGTAGTTGACAACTTGCCAACAATAAAAATTCATCCAATAAAATAAAATAGAATATCCAAATGACAGCGTTGAAATGCTTTCCTCCATCAAACAGAAAACCAGTAATGAAATAGAGTCTATATAGTTTTGATGTTGTTGGTTGTTATGTGTTTGAGTTTGTATTAGTATAATGTTTATAAGTTTATTCTAATTCTATTCTTATATTAAAAAAATGTTAAATTCTCATTAGGGTCCCCTTCCCGACTTTCCTGACAAGTATGTTTCGTGCCATGTTTAAGCTTGTTGCTGCTTTCTGTTGTTACCATAACACGCATGATCAGATCAGCCACCATTCTCCTAAAGAACATGTTGCGGAGCGATTGGGACGGCATTTGGTATACACATGCATGCACTATGCCATAATATGTATGTTTCATGTGCAGTGTATGTAATGTATAGATCTTGTGATAATGCAAAGAATATATTGAAATACATAAGTGATGTTTCAACATGTATACATCATCGCCAGCATCTATTTTTCCTTATCCTATATACCTGGATCTTAGCTATTATTTCCATATATTCCCGGCATAGGTTATGCAAATTGGCAGTAGTGCCCCCAGTTTTGTTTGTTGGTCTATAGTCCCCATGTATCCACATTAACTAGTTCGATATATCTACCATAAACCGATTTGGGGCAATCATGTATAGACCATATATCTAGTATAGTTACATATATTCATATATATATACACATACATAATATGATATATATATATATGGTAACTACATCTAAATAATAAATATACGGATTTTTAAATATATGAACTGGTATTTTAGACTACCTTCGGGAAGGTTTTCCTTGGCCCGCCTGGCCACGCATACGGAATCCAATTTGCTTACATGCATTAAAACATACCGATGGAACTGGTGTTTCATACTACCTCCGGCGCGTCGCGGTCTCGCCTGCCCTCGACATATTTGAATGTCGTTACTATATACTAATAATATCTATATATATATATAAAAGGGTAGGAAATTGTTTGGGGATTTTTTTTTTTTAGTTTGGGGATTTTTTTTTGGATTTCCGGTTCTCACCATTTTCCATGCTATTTGCAGCATTTTGGAGCTGGAAACTGCCATTTCCACGGTATGCGGAACGGTTTTGAGTTCGAACCTCTCATTTTCCATTGTATTTTCCACGGTATTTGCAACAGTTTGCAGCATGTTCTGTCCATTTTCCATGCTCTTTGCAGCATTTTTGAGCTGGAATCTGCATTTCCACCGTATGTGCAACATTTTACAGCTACATTCCTCACAGTACTTGCAGGATTTTGGAGCTGAAGGCTGACATTCCAAAAGTTGTTTGTTGTTACTGTTACTGTTGTTGGTGTTGGTGTTGGTGTTGTTGTTGTTGGTGGTGTTGTTGTTGTTGGTGGTGGTGGTGGTCGTGTTGTTGCTGTTGTTGTTGCTGTTGTTAGTGTTAATGTTAGTGTTGTTAGTGTTGTTAGTGTTGTTAGTGTTGTTAGTGTTGTGTTACTGTTGTGTTAGTGTTGTGTTAGTGTTGTGTTAGTGTGTTGTTGTTGTTGGTGTGTGGTGGTGTTGTTGTTGTTGGTGGTGGTGGTGGTGTGGTGGTGGTGGTGGTGGTGTTGTTGTCGTTGTTGTTGGTGTTGGTGTTGGTGTTGTTGTTGTTGTTGTTGCTGTGCTGTTGTTGTTGTTGTTGTTGTTGGTGTTGTTGTTGTTGTTGTTGTTGCTGTTGTTGTTTAGTGGTGTTGTTGTTGTTGCTGTTGTTAGTGTTGTTGTTGTTACCGTTAGTGTTGTTAGTGTTGCTAGTGTTAGTGTTGTTAGTGTTGTTAGTGTTGTTAGTGTTGTTAGTGTTGTTAGTGTTGTTAGTGTTGTGTTAGTGTTGTTGTTGTTGTTGCTGTTGCTGTTGCTGTTGCTGTTGTTGTTGTTGTTGTTGTTGTTGTTGTTGTTGTTGGTGTTGGTGTTGGTGTTGTTGTTGGTGTTGGTGTTGGTGTTGTTGTTGTTGTTGTTGGTGTTGCTCCACACCTCATGGAAAGGCAAAAAAGCAAAGAAAAGCAAAAAAGCAAAAAAGCAAAAAAGCAAAGAAAAGCAAAAAAGCAAAGAAAAGCAGAAAAGCAGAAAAGCGAGAAAAGCAAAAAAAAGCAAGGAAAGCAAAAAAGCAAAAAAGCAAAGAAAAGCAAGAAAAGCAAAAAAGCAAAGAAAAGCAGAAAAGCGAGAAAAGCAAAAAAGCAAAAAAGCAAAGAAAAGCAAAGAAAAGCAAGGGAAGCAAAAAAGCAAAAAAGCAAAGAAAAGCAAGAAAAGCAAAAAAAGGAATAGAAGCAAAGAAGCAGAGAAGCACTGCAGGAGGCAATAGAGTAAGCAGGAAGAAATCCAAAAAAAAATCCCTAAACAAAAAAAAAATCCCTAAATAAATGGCCCTCCATATATATATGTGTGTGTGTGTAGTATGATATAGTAAATTATCCCACAGGACGAGGGTTCGGGACAACCCTTCGTCCTACGAGGGTATGGCCCGGAGGGCCATACCCGAGAGCGGAGCTAGCAACCCATTGGCTCCATCATTCCAGTGCTAGGGGATTTCCTTGTCATAACATGTCCTTGTCATAATCTCCCGGCCCCATGGAACATATACGCATACCTCCTATTAGGGGTTTCATATAGGGTATAACATAAGTTATAAAATCCCCCGGCCCCATGGAACATATACGCATACTTCTATTATTAGGTGTTTCATTTAGGGTTTACATAAGTTATAAAATCCGGACTCGCCAAAATTTTCGAAAAGATTGAAAAAGTGGAAATGGCCGAAACGCCTGAAGTCCGCAGAGGATTCACTTTTCTGACTGATTTTCCAAAAATTCGTCTTAGACCACGCTAACTCACAGATGTACCAGAGTCATAAAACACTGCACCTGCGCAGAGAAATGAGCCTCCCACTGACGTTCATACGACCATTCCGGGACAACCCTCAGTCCTGCCCGTAAATTATATATATATAGTAAATATATAGTATGATATTGAAAAAATATATATTAATATATAATACTATACTTTCCCATATTAGCCCATTAACATACCAGTCATAGCCCATTTGTTCAACCTGAATCCCAGGATCCCACCTGATTGACGGCTTGCTGAAACTCTGCGCTCTTGGATTGCCTTGGCCGAAGAAAATGGTGGGATTTCGCCCAGAAATATGGGGATATCACGGGGATATCATGAGGATATGCAAAAAAAATCCACTGTGATTTCGGACGGCGACTCACTTGCGCACACAAAAGTGGCTCAGTTCTACACACAGAGCCTTCGGGGGATGGGGTGGGGCTCGCTCACGTCATTATCTTTCTTGCTGTCCAGCAGACACAGGCACTGCTCTTTCATGATCAGTTACCGGTGGGGGGGGTGGGGTGGGGCGGGGTAATTATTCCCAACATATGGAAAAATAAAAAAATCCAAACCACCAACCAGACATGTTATGTTGGTTGGTTACACTATATATATATATATTCAAATATATAAAGTTGAACATTCAACCATGTTGAACAAGTTCAAATTGATGTCTTGATTTGACCACAAATAACCGACATTCTTGTCCAGCATCATCATCGTCGTCATCACTAGCATCATCATCATCATCATCATCATCATCACCCTCATCATCGTCATCAACCGTCATCGTCATCGTCATCATCATCATCATCATCATCATCGTCATCGTCACCGTCACCGTCACCGTCATCACCATCATAAGGACACCAGCATCCGCGTGCACAACTGAGTTGGTTTCTATCCGTGATTTCGGGCTTCTGGACTTCAATAAAATGCCTACACACACAGCTCAAACCACTCAGTGGAACAATTTGATCCGAATCTACCCTTGGACCATGACTCCAACGAAAGCAGTGAGTGTCCAACTGCATTCTCAGCTCTAAGAGTCGGCATACCTAGAATATAATATATATATATATATAATATATAGAGAGAAATAATATATATATATATAATAATAATATATATATATATAGAAATAATAATATATATAAATAATAATATATATAACAATAATAATAAATATAAATAATAATAATAGTAATAATAATAATAACAATAATATATAGAAATAATAATATATAAATAATAATAATAATAATATAATATGATATATATATATATATATAATCACCACCGTTTTAAGGTGAGGCACGTACCAAAAATGTAAACTACATTTTTCATCATTTTTCAAAGTGTTTTTGAGGTGGGCCTTGAACATGTAAGCTTACATTGTGAAGGTATTTTGAAGACTCTCCCCACAAAAACGACACCTGGGGGACGTTCAGCGACCACTTTTACATTTAAGGGGGTTCATGGGGGGTCCAAAAAAATGTCTCTTACATTTTGGTATGGTCCGACCCCGAAAAGTAGCCTTAAAAGGGTGGTGATTATATATACCTAATATGATTCAAATTAAATGGACATCCAACAAGTACGACCTCCAAAATTGGCCTTCCATTCATGGTGGAAACTGGAAACAATTACATCGCCATTTTGGGGTTCAGCCATCAGTTGCCTCCAAGATTGAAGCACGAGCCACACCAAGCTCTGTTACTTCTCATATTTCTTTTGAGCAACAGCTTCTGATTTCAATTCCCATCATATTAATACGGCCAGACGCTGTGTGTTGCCGGGAAAGTTCAAATGGCGTTTACGCATTATCCTTCAACATGCTCAAACACCTGTGCAGGATTGCGCAGGGCCAGTGTCTTGAGAGTTCCCAGACGACGAACCCTAAGACCCAAACCCCAAAACCCTAAACCTAAAACCCTTAAGCGTTAAAACCTAAAACCTAAACCCTGAAAACTTTGAATCCTTAACCAGAAACACTGCGTATATGCTGTACTTTCTGCAACCCCTCCT